CCAGTTTAACTTTGAATATTATTTATGATTTTAAATTTATACACAAGTGCCAAAATACTATAATTATGGTAAATAAGATCAAAATAAATACATTAAAATGATAAGATTTTCAGCAATTGGTTTCTTTGTTCAGCAAAGTTGTTTCAACAAATAAAAATTTTTTAATTTCTCAATCAGATTATGATGACACTGTAGATGATGATGGAAATTTTGTAGAAAGTAATAATACAAATGGAGAATCCAGCAAACCACATGTGCACAAGAGGAGAAAACGAGAATTCAACAAAAAGGTAACGTCAGTATTTTTTCTATCCTGTTTTCATACAAATGTGTTTTTAGGAAAGCTTTAATGGATTGCAAGAAAAAACAAATCCTTTAAAAGATAAAATAAAACATAATATATTCGTAAGGAAAAAATTAATCTTCTCAAATCAGGGGTAGTTTTTTCACCTAAGAAAATGAGTGAAAATAATATTTGTTATGAAGCATTGTTTATAAGTAAGAACTATGAAGAACAACTGTTTCACTGATTGTGCTTTTGAATATATTGAAAAAATAAGCTAATAAAATCAGCTTTTAAGTTTTATACCCTTGGCAGAAATTTGATTCGTTGTTACAGTGAGAAGGATTAGTATCTTTTTTTAATGGTTAGCTGTAATGTAATTTGTCTTTCTGAGTTAGGCCTGACGGTTGCCGGTTTGAATCTCTGTCCCACCAAACATAGTCACCCTTTCATCCATGGGGTCATTATAATGTGACAGTCAATCCCACTATTCGTTGGTAAAAGAGTAGCCAAGAGTTGGCGGTGGGTGGTGATGACTAGTTGCCTTACCTCTAGGGATGGCTAGCACAGATAGCCCTCGTATAGCTTTGCGCAAAATTCAGAACAAACTCAAACTTTCTGAGTTGTTGTACAATATTTTTTTTTGTACAGAGTGAGCATTTGCTTTTTGGTATTATTAGTATTACTAGTTGTAATTTATTAACCCTTTCGAGAATTCAATGTAAGCATATTATGTTATTTCTTTTTCCTCATTTTTTAGTGTGTATTTTATGTGTAACATTGAAACTGAAGACCCTTTAATTTAAATAACTTTTTCTGAAAGTACAAACTGCAATTTTGTCTCAGTGACCGTAATACTTGAGCCACCATTTTTTTTTTTTTGCTATTGAATATCAGTGTTACCACTTACAATATACATTAGGGCCAAGCAAAATAATACTGGTGTGTATGACATTTAGTTGGGGCCATTTACATTTCATGTGTTGTATAAATAATGGTGGATAGTGGAACAGGATAGGAAGATCGGTGATGCACGTGATGCTTTTTAACGGAAACATGAATTGAGGTACATAAATTTCTGATAGGTTTTTGATACACTGGTAAAATTTGAAACACACTGTTTATGAAATAAAATTAGTTATCATGATGTTATGTGTTTTTGGAACATTTTTTCATTGCTAACTACACTTTTTTTTTTCTTCATGAATAAAGAATCCAACTTTCATGGAAGGAGTTCCAGGTGTAGAACCAATTGTCACTCAGCCTAAGTTAGTGCAGATTCAGCGTAAAGCACAGAACATGTGCAACTGGGAAGAGTAAGCTGTTTTTTTTTAACAGCCAGTACTATAAAGTTAATCTATGTAGTATATTTAACGTGTTAAATAATTCCTTTAGTCATCTTACTGTAATTAATTGTGTCAGATTTTTAGGTGCATTATAATGGGTAAAAATAAACGTTTAATTTATTATTTGTCTTTAAATCATTAATATAAGGAGTGATTTTAAGCTTGCAGTAATTCAGTTGGTTGAGACTTGTTATTAATATGATACAAATTATTCAGGCATTTGAAAACTTTATAAGAATAAACTAACAAGCTTTATGAAATATTTTTTATAAGGATGAATTATTTGACTTGCATAGGTAAATATTTTTTATTTTAGAGTTTAGTAGATTGGATTAGATTTGGTATCATATTGTTTGTATTTTTATTTTGGTACTTGAAACCTTTTAATGAAATACTTGTGTTTATGTGTTATTTAATTGAATGAATTCAAATTTTTAGTGCTAAATCTTTTCTTGCAGTAAATTTCCATAATCTTTTTGGAAAGGTGATACACTGTGAGGTTTTCACTGTCTGTACATATATATATATATATATATATATACTA